AAATGTAGTCTCTGTCCTTTTAAGTCAGTTGACTTGTCACATATTTCTTTGTAAGACTTGTATGGTACTGGCAGAAAAGTCGTTTTTTAAAAGCCATAGGCTTTCCCTTATCCTTAGCTGTAATAATGCATCTGATTTTGATTTCCTCGAGAGCTGTATTTCTGTCCACTACCTGTGTACTGGCCCCTGTGTTTCCTACTCTAGCCCACACTCCTCACTCCCACTCCCCTGGTCTTTTGGAGTTTGTGATACTGATTTGAAATGGATGGTGTTCTCTTGAGAGCAAGTGAGATTGTTAGAGTTAAATTCCAGCTATACATTTTTCTAACATAGCTCTAAGGTCCTTGTTGCTGTTTGTGATAACTGATAGATAACTCATTGGAAACATGTGCATACATTTATATTCAGATGAAATTATGGTTTGCACTGTCTATTAAATATCTCGATTAATTTTCATACTTTGCCATTGTGTTTAATCAGTCTGTCATTTGCTTCGGGAGTTGACCCTTACCAGGCCAGCATGATCCAGGGGAGTCTATGGAAATATATGGAAGATTTGAGCATGATGCATGTCAACAATTTGAACTAGAGCAGAGTATGTCTTACTAGAAATATGTTTAGGCTCTGAAAGCCATGGATCTGTGGCCATCATCTTGCATGGGGACCCTCTGGGAACAGTTCAGGAGTGAATTGGTTCTCTGTAGACCCAGGGTCTTCCCTAGTTCTTTATCAGTGTCCACGGGCAATATCAGCAGGACAACAGAGCATATACCTGTTGGAAAATATGGTGTTCCCACTGACTAGGCCCATCGGATACATCAGTACATTGAAAAACAATGGCCTTTCCCATGAGGAGGAAGTATAGGACAGTGACTGAGAATCTAAGACATAAGTGGTATTCTCAGGTCTGCTGTGCCTTGCCATGTGACTTTGGTCTCTTCCACTCTCTACTTTTCTTTAGTCTTATACCCCTTTGAGAATCCAATGAATGCTATGGACCCTCTCCTTCATAAAAATGGATCGATCTGTGCATGTTTATTCTTAATTATGCACACAAATTCTCAGAATCGAGAGGATCCCTCCCCAGTGCCTATCCTCAAACCTCTTAAGATTAAATCTCAGTTCACAACTAAACATTACCAGCGCTCACTGGGTGCTCCAGGGGCAAGTCGGCCCCTCCTTAGATCTCATTTTCCCATCCGTGAAACAAGGGGGGCAGGTCCTGTCTGTGAAGCTGCTCACGCCCTGTTCCTCACCCCTCATTGCTCCTCTTCCTAGGGCTGCCACACTAAGAATTGGGACTTGACCACGGTGACTTGAAATTTCATGACTTGTGTAGAGGTTGGTTCTGGCTATTCTCAGTTTTCTTTCCACCTCAAGAAGAATCTAGTGGTAATGCTTGCTGCCAGCTTCCACCTTCTTGGCCTACAGCTGGTGGTCCCTGGGCATTATTTGGTGTGGGTGGTCCATAGTGGACATTAAGCTCTTTTCATCAGTTACCTCAGGGGCTTCTCACCCCAGGTCTAGATGACGGGAACTCACAGACCCAGGCATCCAGCTCTGGCAGGCCCACAACCAGGTCTAAGACAGCGTCTGGGGCTCCTCTGAGAAAAACTTGCCTATTCCTACTAGATGGTGGGCTTTGTGTCAAGCCTGTAGGATGCAGTGTTCGGTAATGCCCAGTCCCTTTCCTGCTCTCAGGAGGTTCTCGGACTGGAGAGAGAAGTTACCACGTCAGGATTCCTTGGTACAAGCTACATAAGATTCAACTGATTTGTATAAGCAGTAAAGACATACTTACAAATTCAAGACTTATTTGACAAGTATTTATTGAGCACCTACTGTATGCCAGGCATCATTCAAGGCACTGGGAATGCATGCAGCAGACTTGAGTCCTTGTCCTCAAGGTGTTTGCATTCTAATAATCTCAGGACAAGAAGTCTTGGGTTGGCAGAGGGCTGGATGGGGGCCATGGTGTTCTGTGGGTGTCTGGACTTGTAGCAGCGGCTCGACCATGTCCTTTAGAACCAGGTTCTTTGCATCCTCCTTTACTTTCCTCCACACATTAGCTTTCCCTTATTGGGCCTGTCACCTCTTGGTCATGAGATGGCCCTTCATCACATCCTCGGGGTCTAGAAACAGGAGGATCAGCACTAGCCAGATTTTCTTTTCACCTCTGCCTATGTTAACAGGAGGTAAACCTTTCCCAGAAGACTACACAAACTGTCTCATGGGCCATAACTGTCACATGGATACTTCTTGCTGCAAAGGAGTCTGGGAAAGTGGAGGCCAGATAAATGGGTCCAATCAGGATTCTCTCCTAGGGCTGGTGGTGGGGCCTCCCTCCCCAGAGCCCATTATTGCCTACTTGATGCCGGGACTAAATTGGGTTTCTGTGTGGAAGAAGGGGATGGTTGCTGAGGAGATGGTACCAAATTAACACCATGGAGGCAGAAACCAAAAACCAGGCAGATGTGAAATTAGTGCTACTAATTTCTTCTAAAAAGCAGATCTGATGATGTGTTCCTTTCAGACCCCTCACTCTGCCTCCATCCTCTCTTCTGTGGTTGGAAGACTAAAGGTACATTGGAATTACCCAGGGAGCTTGGTAAAACTAGTCTCCTGGGCCCCATCCCCAGAGCTGGGTGGGAATCCAGAAATTTGCTTTTTAGCAAACTCCTCGGGTAATCCAGGTGGGCTGGGGTTACACTATGGAACACTCAGGTGTACAGGATCAAAACCTCAGAATGGCTATATATGGTCCCTCCGTAACCTTGCTCCCATTTTCACCTCCTCCCATGTCTCCCACTCTACCCCCCCCACCCCCACCCCACCGCACCTCCAACGATTATGCAGACTTCTCCACCTCTTGGAACATGTACTCTTGGCTTCCTAGCACTTAACCAGCTAAGCCCAGACCCCTTCGCCTTTCCCAGACACAGTCTGCCTTGTCCTGCAGAGAGTTGCCGCTCCCTCCTCTGCTCCCCACCTCCCCACACTTGTCATGACTTCCCACTCCCTTACCAGACAGTGAGGGCATTGCATTTCCTGGCTCCTAGATCTACTTGGCACAGATCAAGTACTCAAGGATGTTTGTGAATGCGTGTGTGTGGTCAGAGGGAAGTGTTGACTGACTGTGCCAGGAGGAGGTGGAATTTTTGTTTAGGCTTGAAGACGGAGTGGGCTTTTTATTTATGCCTATGAAGGATGGGGCATTCTAGACCAAGGGAACCTTGTGAGGGGAGACAAAGCAGGGAGGTAAGTGAGGGGCTGCCTCAGGAGGATTTGATTGGAGGAAGGGCTTGGGAAGAAGTGGGAGGTAAAACTGGAGAGGCAGGTTGGGGACTAGACTAGGATCTTGAGCTTGCGACTAAGGAGTTTACAGGGTCATTAAAAATAGGGAAGGAAGGGGGAAAAGAAGGGGAGTGAGAGGAGAAACGGAAAGAAAATCAATTGCTCAGGCAATAATTTGGTTCTGGGGAGGGTACAGATGAAGCTTTTTAGGCTGCCTCCCATTTTAGTAAAGTGAGGGTAGCATTTTTAGAAGCAGCAGAATTCTGGAATATAATCCTGCTTGTTCAAGTGGAGACTGGATAGTGGGTGGGTATGTGGACAGACCACTGCAGCAGCAGGCCAAGCAAGATGTAATGCTAAGAGCACGGGCCTATGGGGTCTGGTACACAAGGTTCAGATCCTCCCTCTGCAGCCCAGGGACTGTGAGCCTGGAGAGGTAACCTCATCCCTCAGCCTCAGTTTTCTCATCTATAAAATGCAGGTAATAACACCTGCGGCTGCCATAGCAAATTACCACACTAGGTGCCTTAAAATAATAGAAATCTATTTTCTCGCAATTCAAGAGATCAGAAGTCCAAAACTCAGGTGGCAACAGGGCCATACTCTCTCCAGAGATCCAAAGTCCTTCCTTGCCTCTTCTAGCTCCTGGTAGCTCCTGATATTCCTTGATTTATAAGCTGCATCACTCCAATCTCTGCCTGTCTCCACATGGCCTTCTTCCCCATGTCCCTGTGTGTCCTTTTCTGTCTCTTATATGGACACTTTTTATTGTTAGGGCCCACCCTAATTCAATATGATCTCATCTTGATCCTCACCTTAATTACATCTGCAAGGACCCTATTTCCAAATAAGGTCACATTGTGAGGTTCCAGGTGGACGTGAATTTTGGTGGACGCAATTTAACCCACTATGCTGCCTCATATCGCTGTGAGGTCATGGTTTGTAAAGCTCCCAGCAGGGTTTAGAAAGCTCTGAGGTAGAGGTGGGAAGCACAGCTATTATGGCCCCATTTGCTAGATGTGAAAACCAAAGCTATAAAATGCCGGTAATAACACACTTTGGGTACCCCTGCTAATAAGTGACAAAAGCGGCAGATGGATTTCCAGTACTATGAAGGCCACTTCTTCAACAACTGTATTTTGGGCAACTTTATGCCAGCTCTCACAAAGCTCATGGTTTGGCGGGAAAATTAGGCCATTCTCATCCTCTCCTTTGTCATCATTGCCACCACACACTGGATAATCAATGTAGTACAACCCACTGAGAAGAGAGCACCTGACCAAGAAAGGCTTATGGAAGGAAGCACTGTCTCAGCTCAGATTGAGAGGTGCTAAAGACTCAGCAAGGGAAAAGATGTGAAGGAGAAAGGAGGATCATTTTCAGTAGCATGTACAAAGGCTGGGAGGCCACCCTGGGCATCTTTTTGTGCCTGAGCTGGACAGTGCCAGTAGACCTGTGGCAAATATTTATGAAATAAATTATAGATGAGGAAACTGAGGCACAAGGTGCTTTAAATCCTATAGCAAGTCCTGCCAGAGCTAAGACTTAAACTCAACTCCCTGTCTCCCCATCTAGGTCTCTGCCTATCTGCACTGGGTACCCACCCAACAGTTGTTGAATAAATGGCCTTCAT